GCAATTACTGGGTCATAGGGTAGTTCTATTTTTAGTTTTTTGAGGAACCTCCATACTGTTTTCCAGAGTGGCTGCACCAGCTTGCATTCCATTAAAATTTTTTTTTAATGTTTATTTATTTTTTAGAGAGATAGAGTGTGAGCAGGGGAGGGGCAGAGAGCGAGGGAGACACAGAATCTGAAGCAGGCTCCAAGCTCTGAGCTGTCAGGACAGAGTCCCAAACAGGACTTGAACTCACGAACTGTGAGATCATGACCTGAGTGAAGTCAGATGCTCAATCAACTGAGCCACCCAGGCACCCCTAGCAAGAGGTTTAAAAAAATTTTTGTAATAACAAAAACAAGAAAACCTCTTTGACCTGCTGTTTCTAGTTCTGCAATTTCACTGTAACAAAATGATTCAAAACATAGAAAAAGCTTTGCGATAGCTTTAAAAAGCATGAAATAAGGAATTGGAAACAAGCTGAATATATCACAATATAGTTAAATAAACCATACAGCATTTTCTTAGAAATATTATGTAGTCGTTAAAAAATCTTTACAAAGTTGTGCAACAGCATAGGAAGACATTCATAAAGTAGAATATTCACATATCTATGATTACAACTGTGTAGGAGCCAAAATCCTATGCATAAACACTGGAATTAACAAAAGTGCTTTTACTGTTGGGTTAGAGAAATAAGAGTAAATTTTTTATTTTCCTGTATTTTCCAAATCCTATTTAATAGTACATGAATATTAAAATTTAACAACTACTAAACAAATAAAAATAAAAGTAAACATCTACTGGGGCACCTGGGTGGCTCAGTCAGTTGAGTATCTGGCTCTTGATTTTAGCTCAGGCCATGATCCCAGGGTTATGGGATTGAGCCCCAAGTCGGGCTCCATACTGTACATGGAACCTTCTTGAAATTCTCACTTCTGTCTCTTTCCCCCCCCAACATCGCCTGCCCCCCACAGACTCGCTCTCTCTCTCTCGCAAAATAAAATGAAACATCTACTAAAAATGTTGTCTGTTAGGATAATGAAATGGAAAAACATATGACTTAAAAAACAAACTAAGTGTATTTACATTATAGTTATGACTGTTTCAAGTTTGTGGGCCGGGAGGGGGGAGAGAGAGAGAGGAAGAGAATGAAATAAGATTCAAAGAAAAACACCAAGGGGCGCCAGGATGACTCAGTTGGTTAAGCATCTGACTTGGGCTCAGGTCATGATCTTCCCATTGGTGAGTTCAAGCCCCACTTTGGGCTCTGTGCTGATACCATGGAGCCCAGAGCCTGCTTCAGATACTGTGTCTCCCTTTATCTCTGTCCCTCCCCCACTCACACTCGGTCTCTCTGTCTCAAAAATAAATAAAAATGTTTTAAAAATTAAAAAGAAAAAAAAACACCAAAATACTAGGAAGGATTATATAATGTGAGATGATATTTTTTTCTCCTTATTCTCTAAATTTCCTGTAAGTTATTTATTTGTGTTACTACTATAATAAATGCCTAGCAAGTATACCTTGCTAAATACCCAGAGGCCCCCTACTTTACCCAGGGGCCTCATCTCAGCTGGCTAGTGGCACTTGCCTTGTATCAAAACAATGAGAGGTCTATAGGGCATTAAAATTCTATTGTGTCGTGTTAGAATTTACCAAGCCCACAGCAAGATTGGAGGCAAAGCTGCTGCAGTGACTTTTTCATATAGGTGAAAGAATATTGAATAGACCAAGAAACAACTCTGGTTCTATCCTGTGCATTTTTGTCCAGGGAAGTCATTGAACTCTGTTTCCTAATTCCCAAAGTAAAAGGGTCAGATTACATATAAGAAGTTCTAATTGTAGGTCATGTACAGAAAGGTGAGATTAGAAGTCAGACCTGAGTACAAGAGATGCGGGAAATTAGTATAAACTGCAGCAAGACCCCAAGAGTTTGGGAAACCATTTAGTAAGTTTATTAATTCTCAACTAGAAAAATACAGAGTAACTAAAGAAGTCAATGGTGGGTGGGAATAAGAACCTAGGATTTCCCAAAATTCTGGGCAAATGGAGACAAGAAGTCCGAGTAACGGCACATAGCACTTGACAGGGCTTGAACGACACAGGGATTTTTCACTCTATTTATTTTTCTATTTATTTGGGAGAGACAGAGACAGAGACAGAGAGAGAAAGAGGGCAAGTGCATTCACACACAGAGGAGAGGAGCAGAGGAAAAGAGAATCTTAAGCAGGCTCCATGCTCAGCGCAGAGTCCCAGTAGGGCTCAATCCCTCAACCCTGGGATCATGACCTGAGAGGAAATCAAGAGTCGGGCCACTCAACCAACTGAGCCACCCAGGTGCCCCATGGGTTTTTCACTCTAGCCGAAAGAGAACTTCACAGTAGGAGCTGGGCACATACATGGGGTTTAGGTTGGCACTCCAGGCTAGAATGAGGCTGTGGAGAACACTGCAGTTCCAGGCATATGAGTGTCCACTGAGAAAATACTGTGATGAAACCCAAAAGTTTCATTTAGTTCTGGGAGTCAAAGTACTTCTCAACTAGCACTGTCCAAAAGAACTTTCTCAAACGATGGAAATACTCTTCATCTGTGACATTCAATACTATATAGTCCCTGGGCATATGGGACTACTGAAAACTGGAAATATGCAAGTCCAACCAAGGAACTGAATTTCTAAATTTAATTAATTTAATCTTAAATTTCAATAGCCACACATACAGCTAGTGACTACCAAATTGAGCAGCACAACAAAGGCCTAATACAGCCCAAAAGTTCTTTTTAAATATAGCCAAAACAGGGTGCCGGGTGGCTCAGTCGGTTGGGTGACTGACTTCGGCTCAGGTCATGATCTCACAGTTCATGAGTTCGAGCCCCGTGTCGGGCTCTGTGCTGACAGCTCAGAGCCTGGAGCCTGCTTTGGATTCTATGTCTCCCTGTCTCTCTGCCCTATTCCCACTCATGCTCTGTCACTCTCTGTCTTAAAAATAAATAAAACATTAAAAAAGATTTTTTTTTAATTACAGCCAAAACAAACATAATGAAACAAGAAAGCTTTTTTTTGAATATGAAGGATATTTCATTTTTGTTTGTAGCCTGTATGTATATATGTTGTGTGTAGTAATTTAATAGTTCCATAAGAAGTTAAATCAATTCTAGGAATTTTACAAGAATTCAGACCCTTTCCAGAGTAAACTTAGATTAACCACATTCTGAAATACATCTGAAATACATCTGAAGATGTATTTACCCAAGATGAAGCAGAAGCCATCTTGGCCCCACATGACCTTCTAAACTAAGGAAAAAGTGAGACACAGCAACAGCAGGGCTGTTGGGCCTGACTGTTCTTGGGCCTGACTTCATCTTGAGTGTAGACTAGATCTGGGCTTTGGAGTTTGGAACGGCACAACTAGTCTTTCAATGGCACTCATAATAGAATCAGTGAGTGCAGACAAGGATGTTTCTAATTGTAGATTGTCCCTAAGTTTCCTACAAGCACCATAAATAATAGAACCTGTATGAGAGTCAACTTATAGATTTCTAGACTGGACTCCGGACCGAGAAATCCAGACATATTCTAACATATTCCTACTGTGATAAAACGAAGAAAAGAGATAATCCAATGCCAAAACAGGTTTATTGGTTATTGTATACAATAGAACATGAGCACCTTGCAAGTATTCAATATAAAAAGGGCTCCGTACAAGCTGCCTTCCTTTCACCCTAAAAAAGTATACCAACTGGGTGCCTGGCTGGCTTGCTTGGTAGAAAATGTGTCTCTTAGCCTCAAGTTCGTGAGTTCAAGCCCCATATTGGGTGTGGTCTACTTAAAATGAAAAAAAAATTTTTTTAATTAAGAAAAAAAAAAAGTATACCAACTCCAGGCAAAAGAGGGGAATCAAACTTCAAGTTTACATAATAAACATACTCAAAAGAAGCCCCTGCTTTCTTACAAAAATGGACAAAACCTTCTGAAAATAAAGCGAATCAAAAGAAATTAAAACTGGGATACTGATGCCTGTTAATAACATTAACTAGTGCCTGTCTATGACACAAAACAGACAAAACATTAAAATTTTTAAAAAGTCGGTATTTTCTCAGCTTTTTTGAGGTACAATTGATAAATTAAAGTTAATATTTTAGGAAAATGTTACTAAGGAAAAAAGTACTGGTAAAGTTATCAGTTCCCATTTTTTAAAACTTATTGGCAAAAGTTTTACCAACCTTTTTCAGACCAAAAAATACAACAAAAGTCTAAAAGTAGGGGTGCCTGGCTGGCTAGTCAGTAGAGCATGTGACTTCAGATCTTGGGGTTGTGAGTTGGAGCCCCAGGTTGGGCATAGAGCTTAAATTATTAAAAATAAAAACAAAAAAACAAAAACAAAACAAAAAGTTTAAAAGCATATAGCTTCCAGATACTAAGTCCGAGATTTTTCCCCTCCTCAAATCCTCCAAACCCAAATTATGAGAAATAATTTGCTCTGACCACTGGGAATATTTCCGCACAGTGACATAATAAAAAAATTTACTTCTTCCATTATTTAACTTATTCATTCCCATCCTAATCAAACTCCAGGCATGTAGAAGTAAGCAAGAGAATATCATTTTCCCTAAGGCGTTCCTTCGTGACTGAGGCAAAACTAAATTTCCAACATGACAAACTTAAGCTCTGAGGAAGGTACTGCTGGTAGAAGAAATGAGCCACTTTCATGGTCTCAAAAACAAATCACACATTTCTAAGACAGATTTGGAGAGGGATTTATCCAAGAATCAGTTTTCTCCAAGGCTGGACAGGGAGGAAACGTAGGAAACACGGCTTTTCTAAAAGGATGAAAGGTGTCACTTGGAGAGACTCTGGTTTCCTGAGGAAGGGAAGGAGACACTGAAATATCTTGTTTTGTGCATTTTAGATCTTCCTGGTTTTGCACCATCAGTAACTGTTCTATCTCCTCTTTCAAAGATAAACTTGTCTGAAATTCCTGTTTGGGTGTCTTACTGTGTTCTTTTTGAGCTATTCTCTGGTCCTCTAGCCTCTCTGACTCAAGGCAAATGAGTTTATTGATAGAATCCTCGTTGGTTTCTTCCTTCATGGGAGGTACATGTTGAGGTTCTGTTGAAGTCTGTTTATTCTTAGATTCTTCTTTCAGCAAATTTACATGATGAGTTTCATCTAGTACAGAATTTTTACAAAGTAAGGAAAACCCTACTTTTCCCTCTTTCCCTGCTGTCTCTGGCACTGATTTCTTTGGATGTACCCTTGTCCTTATTAGGAGTCCCTGTGCATTCACCCTATATTCTTTTGCAGCTCTCTCTCTGCGCTGCTTCTGGAAGTCCTTGAGTTGAAGAAGCTCTTCTGGAAGCTCCATACATGAAGGCTAAGAAAAGAAAACAACACAAGTCTGCTGTAACCAAACTTCTAAATATGGTCCTTAAAATCACTTGCACTACAAAGTATTTAGTAAGTGAGGATCAACTCAAATGTGTTCTTATGGCTCCCTCTAGTGTATTCAACTATAGTAGTACTATTTTTTTTATTATTAACAAATATATTTTAACTTTATTTTTTTTAAGTTTATTTATTTTGAGAAAATAGAAAGAGAGAGAGAGAGAGAGAGAGAGAGAGAGAGAGAGAAAGCACACAGGAATGGGGCAGAGAGAGAGGAAGAGAATCCCAAGCAAGATCCTCATTGTCAGTGCACAGCCTGATGTAGGGCTCAAACTCATGAACCATGAGATCATGACCTGAGCTCAAGTTGGAGGCTCAACCGAGTGAGCCACCCAGGCGCCCCTTAACTTAAATATTTTGAATCCACAGTTATGTGTGTGTGTGTGTGTGTGTGTGTGTGTTGTGTGTTATGCATGTGTGTGTGCATGTATAAAGATTACACAATGAGAAGTGTTCCCTCCAACCTGTGGTCCCAATTGCCTTAGCAAGGGCACTTTCTAAAAAGCAATTTCTTATGTAGCCTCCCAAAGATAGTCTATGCATCTGTGATTATGTGTGTATAAATATCCTTTACTAAATATTTATCTTCTCATTGGATTGCATTTTTCAATTTTTGTTTTCTCTCAAACTTTTATTTTGATAACTCTTTCTAAAAATTATTTTATACAAATGGTTAACAGTGTTATATATCCTTTGCATTTTGATTTTTTTAAAGTTTCTTTATTACTGAGAGAGAGAGAGAGAGAGAGAGAGAGAGAGAGAGAGAGAGAGCATGGTCGGGGGAGGAGCAGAGAGAGGGAGACACAGAATCCAAAGCAGGCTCCACAATGCAGGGCTCGAACTTGCGAACTGCAAGATCATGACCTGAGCCAAAGTTGGACGCTTAACTGACTGAGCCACCCAGGTGCCCCTGCATCTTGATTTTTTAAGCCATAAAGTTTACCTTGGACATTCTTCTATAGTAGCATTTTTAAGGGCTGTATGGATATGCCATAATTTATTTAACCAAATCCATATAGATGGATATTTGGGTTGTTTCCAGTATTCTGTCATTACATAAATGCTACAATAAAGAACATATTAAGAAAATGTTCTCTTTGTTATACGAGGCAAATAATTTTTCCCAGGTTGCTTGCCTTTTGACTTTCTTCACAGTATTTTCACCAAACAAAAATTTTAAACTCAAATTTATTCATCTTTTATGATTTCAGAGTATTTCTGCATTACATAGAAAGGCATTCCCTCATACAACTCAGTAGCAAAATAGCAAATGGTAATCCAATTTAAAAATGAATGAAGGACCCGAATTGACATTTTTTCCAAGAAGACATTCAAATGGCCAATAGGTATATGAAATGTATCTGACATCACCAATCATCAGGGAAATGCAAATCCAAACCACAACGAGTTGTCACCTCATACCTGTCAGGATGGCTATTATCAAAATGATGGCAAGAATGTGGAGAAAAGGGAACTCTTATGCACAGGTGGCAGGAATAGAAATTGAATTGGTATAGCTATTATGGAAAACAGTATGGAATTCCTTAAAAAGTTAAAAATAGAACTACCATACAGTCCAACAATCTCACATCTGGGTATATATACAAAGGAAATGACTGCACTATCTCAAAGAGACATCTGCACTCCCTTTATATTGTAGCATTATTCATAAGAGCCAACTTGTGTCTATCAATGCATGAATGGATAAAAAAAATGTTACTTTCTCTCTCACTCACACACACACACACACACACACACACACACGTACGCACGCACAATGGAATATTATTTAGCCATAAAAAAGAAAAAATCCTGCCATTTGTGACATTGATGCACTTAGAGGGCATTATGCTGAGTGAAATAAACCAGACAGAGAAAGACAAATACTGTATGGTATCACTTCTATGTGGAATTA